TGTGATCTGCATAGAACTTCAGCTGTCTCTTATCTGCTAATGGACTTGAATGTGCGGCTTTCACTGTATAAAAGTCCCAGTTTGATGTACCTGCAATGTGTTCCGGTCCAATAAGAGCATCTTGTGCTGTATAGCCTGTGTGACTAGAGGTCATGTCTAACCGCATGGTTCCCTTCCCAGCCCAGCGAATGGTTTTAAAGCCGATTTTTCTAAATAAAAAAGGAAACTCCCGTGTGCCGCTCCCTAGAACATTCCCGTATGATGGACTTCATGTGATAACTTGCACGGTTACATTTTAAACCTTTCTCTTACATCCAGGTCCATGAGAAAGAAGATGACTTGGGGAAAGGTGGAGACAATGAGAGCCTGATAACTGGCAATGCCGGGAGTCGCCTGGCCTGCGGAGTCATTGGCATTTGCCAGTAAAATGGAATTGTATGTGCGCCATTGTTTATTCAGTTTAACCGCAACACATTGGAGTTCCTTGTTCTGTTGTATCTGCACTACGGCTGTCGTCCAGTTCCAGTAAATCAATCTCAAGGGATGTTAGGAACTGTTGCATTGAGTAATTTTCTATAAAAACACCATTTCAACGTCCTTTGTGTGTCATTTGTTTTTCAATTCGAGATTTGCGGCCCACTCTGAAAATTGGGCAAAAGTCAGGTAGAGGGTAAAGGTTTGGCTTCCTTCTTGGTAGAGGCAGGCTTTGCTTCCTCATGTCAGAGCCACCAGCAAGTAGCACAGTAGTGACATCATGGAATCTTGTGATCTGAGACCAGCAGGGCCTTAGATCTCACGCTGCAGATATACAGGAGTGTCTGGGCCCGCTCACATACCCAGAAGTGTGCTGCTGGTTAGGAGGAATGGCATACAATTTTTTTGGGGGGGCGGCACTGCTTATGCACAATTCACATTTATAAATGTTCCCTATAACAATCTTTGAGTTGCATTTAAGATCCTTTCAAAGCAAACTCCTTTTAAACCCTCAGATTTTTTTAACATAAACCAATAGTGTAATGTGCGCCTTACTGTAATCCATCGTCGTTTCCCTTCTCTTTGCTGCTCTTTTAATCTGTATCTCTTCTCATGCTTGGGGAGAACTTCCCTTTGCAGCTGAGTGCCTCTTCCTGTAGTGCTGGCTCAGGTTGTGAACCTGCACACAGACACCATGTATCCATTCCTGAGACAAGGCAGTCTGCTGCAAAACAGAAGTTCTGCCCAGCATGAGAAGACATGAGGATTTAAAAAGAAGAGCAGCAAAGAGAAGGGAAACCACCATGGATTCCAGTAAGGCGCACATTACAGTATTTTATGTTAAAAACATCGGAGGGTTCAATGTCACTTTAAGGGGTTTTGTAGCTTGAAGCTACAAAATGCTCCACTTTAAAATCCCGGCGTCTCCTATTGTGCCTGCTCCCACCTGTGTACTCAAGTGCCTGTAGCAGAACACCCTTCACTCCAAAAAGTATAGGAGTTTATTTTCAGGCAGAAACAAGTGTTTTGTCCCTGTAGACTTTAACAGGAGTGCTGGCAAAAGTGTTTATGCCATTTTTAAGGTGTTTCTATTGAAGTCCAAAAAAAGCTGCACTCTGCAGTACATACAAATGCTTGAATAACACCTGTACACGCATGGCTTGGTGCGAATGCAGCCCATAGGTTATTCTGAGATGGGTACACGCTGACCGGAGAAATTGTCTGACCAATCCTCTATCCTCCAAGTATCTCACGAGGTAACTCTGAGTAGAACATGGGAAAGCCAGCACCTTGGTGTAGAAGATACATAAAATGAAAGGCCCACAAACTGGTCGTGTAGTAATGAGGCAAATGAGAGCGCAAATCCTGGGAGTGTAAAGGGTGTAGGGACAACCAATGTCTACGTGTTACAGGTAGAAAGAACAAAAAAATAATCAATAAACAAAACATTCGGGACTTACTTGGGGAGCTGAGGGTCCTGACAGCAGGCCCCCCGATGAGGTTATGGCGATTTGAGACGTACCGCCCCGTGCACGTTCCCTTCACCACCGCCCCGTGCACGTTCCCTTCACCACCGCCCCGTGCACGTTCCCTTCACCACCGCCCCGTGCCACTTCCACTCCTTCACGTCCTAAAAACACTGCGATCAAGACTAGAGGCAGCCTCTCCACCAGCCCCTCGGCACACGCAGCACTCAGTACTAATTGGCGTATCATTTATCCCTTCGCCCCTGGGATACTCTGAATACGTCTTGAATTGCCATAACCTCATCGGGGGCCTCCTGTCAGGACCCTCAGCTCCCCAAGTAAGTCCCGAATGTTTTGTTTATTGATGATTTTTTGTTCTTTCTACCTGTAACACATAGTCATTGGTTGTCCCTATACCCTTTACACTCCCAGGATTTGCGCTCTCATTTGCTTCATTACTATGTCCACAGGTTTCTCCCCGTTTGTAGAGCAGCAATCCTCATTGACGATTCTCACACATACCCCACACCCCCATGAGAGTGCTGTCTTTTGGTCGTGCAGTAAGTAGCCCTACAGAAAACCACAGACCGCATTGGTGCTCTGGACAGATAGGCACATGGAAGCAAATATCTTTTATGTCCACAGAAGCCATGGAGTCTCACCGGGGAAGGGAGGCAATAAAAGGTCTGTTTGAGCCCATCTGGAATTTTTGGGCCTGAAAGTAAACATTCAGGGCTTTGAGTTCTAAGAATGGGTGAATGCCCTTTTTGGGGTTTCGGGACTGAACTAGTTGGGATAAAACCCCTGAAACTTCTGCAGCAGGGACAGGGACTCTGCCACAACAGTCAACAGATTTCCCTACTACAGAAAATGGGGGTGCACCTTCATGCGGAAGGTTTGACGATTTGGCAGACTTGGAATGGTGGTCGGGAAGCCACACTAAGGGCCGAGATGCTGCATTTGAGGGAGTGGAGAAACAAAAGGGTTGCTTCTTGAACAAGGATCTACAAACAACAAAAAAATGACTTGGCCGTCTGCTCCTTAGGCGTCTTCTGATAGGTAAGATGAGTGCTCATGACAGACTTGATTACATGTAGAGTTGGTCCCAGGGCTGGACTGGTGCTCAGTAAAATTTTAGCTAAAGTGCCCTACACAAGAGACGTGACAAATGTCAGGAGGCTTCCAGTACGCCATAACAGCAAAATTTTATGCGAAAGCCATCTGTTACACGCATTCAATGCACAGAAGATCAACCGCAGTGGTGGCTGCCTCCCTTTTAAAGGGATTTTGACCTGTCAGATATGGTTTGACAAAGCAGAATCACAGCCAGAATCAGGTGCAGGGTGGGGCCCTCCAGTGCAGAGAGTTCCAGCTATTTATTGGTTGGGTCCTGCAGGTGCATCATGATCTGGTTCAGTGGTCGCCTTGTTAAAGTGAGACATGGCCAGATCCATAGTGGGAATGAACTTCAAATCCGCCCCAAACAGATACAAGGTCAGCAAGCACTAAGGGGGAGCAAACAATCGGGGTGCTCCCAATCTTCAGATAGGAACTGGAAAAGCAGGCGCAAAAGAAAAGTCTTTAACTTAGGGGCCCTAAATGACCCGAAGCTGGAAACAGCATTGGCCCAAGCAACAGACTGATCCTCTAGTTTGAGGGTGATGCACACTGCATTAATAATGGAGGGAGCATTGTACACCCCAAAATTATCTCCAACTTGGTAATAGTGGGGGTCTGACACCTGGGAATATGCTTATCCAGCATTAATTTGAGCTACTGAATCTGACGGAATCTCTGGCTCTCAAAATACCTGAACAATACTTGCATCCAATCAGAGGGTTCAGGTGTTTTGAGAGCCAGCAGGGCCGGCTAGCAAGATACTGAAGCTTGGCCCAGCGGGAGATTCCTCCATCAACACAGTTTAGCGTAGATGGAGGAATCTGTTGCACTTATTCCATCTGACCAGAGAAAACCTGCAGATAATCTCTAGGTGTATGGCCAGCTTTAGAGACACTTCCCCAGTGGATGACATCAGCACTCTGTTCCTCAGTGAAAACTCCACGCAGTGGATGATGCATGCGCTCTGTCCAAAAACTCCCCTTCCACAGCAAAGCTGGCAGAGAACATAATGTCAACGAGCAACCACGAAAATGAGGGAGCTCCTGATGCTCGGCTTGACCAGCCTACTCACTAAGTGAGCCTTCAGAGGCAATGCCAGCAGCTCAGCTCCGGACCTGGCAAGAACAGAGTCTGAAAAAGCGAACCTACATGGAACCCAGTCCCCAAAAGGTCAGGTGTAGGGAAAGCCTTGACTGAAGAAAAAAAAAAATTGATGAAAATCTAGATTAGTCTTTAAAACAGCAGCGCTGAAGAAGAGACATCCACTAGCTAAAAACTGAGGCATGCTGGTAGTAGGAGGGGTTATACCTCGGGCTGGCCTGCGGGTTTTTTTTTGGTTGCCAGTCTGCAATCCTGAAGGCCTAAGGGTGCCCACACACCTTACGATTATCGTACGATAATCGCGGGAAATCCCGCGATCGTACGATATTCGTAAGGTGTGTGGAAGCCGTGCGACCTCTACTACTGTAAGGTCGCACGACTTTAAACTTACGGACATGTTTGAAAACCCGCCGAGCATCGTACGATGTTCGGCGGGTTTGTGGCATGTCCGTACGATAACAGCCGTACGGGCCGGTGTGCGCAAGCGCACACTGCCCGTTCGGCATTGCGGTCATCGGAAGCCCGCCCCTCAGGGGGCGTGGCTTGCAATCATCGCAAGTACGATCTGCCTATGCAACATAGGCAGATCGTACGTTTTTTTAAGTACCTTACAACCATCGCAAGACAAAAGTCTTGCGATGGTTGTAAGGTGTGTGCCCAGCCTTAGACTTCCTTTATTCTTCAATGAACGAGAAAGAAATGCTAATTTCTTTGTAATGCTCTTATGCTGAACTTAAAGTCAATGTCTCACTGGAAATAGCAGCCCCGCATTCCTCTCATGGAAGGTTGAATGATTTGAAGACAAGCTTGCGCATGAGTAAAGTCTGCACACTTTCACCTTATTTAATAAGAGAAGTGAAATTTCACTTGAACATGTTCAATTCCTTAAGTGTTTTACCCCAATGGACTTATGAATTGTGTGCTCGTTCCAGCACTTTGCCATGAACATTTTCACTATACATTCAGTTGCTCCTGGCCGGCCGTTTTTTTACTACGGCCGGCCCGGAGGTAGTTAAAGGATAAGTGTATTTTCAGACACAGTTCACTTACTCGCCCAGCCACCTGCTCTTATCTGAGCTCCACTGCCAGTGTCAGCTCCAATGGTTACACCCTGTGGTAGAAACGTCCTCGCCATTGGATATGGAGACACCCCATAGAATTTTGAGGGCTCACTGCATGTGACCTCTGTCTGCATGGCCAGCAGTAAGGAAGTCTCCACCCAGAGGATAGAAACATTGCATGCTGGCCACAGCCGTCAGACTCAAGCCAACAAGTAAGTTGGGAGAGGACTTCCCCTGAAAAAGCCAATTAAAGGGAGAAATAACTTGGTTTTTGGGGGGGTTTTGGATATGGCAGGGAAGGATTAGAACTCCTGGCAGGTTTTTTTTTTGATGGCTGTATTAGGGATGCGTCAATACCGGTATTTCGGTATCGAGTACTGATATTTTTGTTCGGTACTCGCCAATTCCGAGTACCGGAGGTCCCCTTCAGGAAGCCAGGTGGCCTGAAAGATACGCTACCCGGCTTCCTGATTAGCAGGGAAGCCGTCCCCATGCTTCTTGTCACTAGGTGCAGAGAAAGCATGGAGCTGGCTTTCTAGCCAATCAGGAAGCCGGGCGCTGTGTAA